CCAATTTAAGCAAGCAGTAGGTTAAACAGGGATGTGTGGGCAGTCAGGTATCCATCTCGGTCAGAATGCCTAGAATATGTTTGTTTATGAGAACCTTTGACTTATTTCTAGTTTATCAAATCTCTTATGCTTTATCATGCATTCTCTTCTACTAATCTGTATTTGATCTTGTTACCAAGCACTAAACTAAGTAGTGGGATTATACTGTCAGAGGTGAAGCAGCTTTTGTAAGAGCATGCATGATGATTTAAAGGGAAGAAAATAAACTTCTGAAAGCGATGTTTGGAATAAATGGAAGGCTAATCTAAATGTCAGAAGACTAACTAGTCTGTTACTAAAGATGATCTCTAGCTCATTTTTTTCCTTTAAGGACCAGTTGGCCAACTAACTTCATACTAAAATTATAATCAAGGATAACCCGTTACATTATGTGGTATTTGTAACACATTTACAAAGGATATGGGGATTTTTGCACAGCTATTGTAAATCACTGAATTTAGTTTCCTTATAAATGGTAATAATTTTTAAAAATGTTATTCAGCAGAAGTAAAGACTTGCTGTTTAATTTACTCTTCATTTACTCTGTGAGGAAAAAGTCTGGACAAAGCTATAGACAAAGGACTAAATCTCAAGTCCTTTAAACTTTTTTCTGTGCATAGATGCTTTTTACTCTCCAGGAATTTTCAGAAATACAGATTACTTAACAGGCTAGGTTTCAGATCATCCAAGATTTCATTTTACCTCTGGACAGTCTGAATTCATGAAGGGTTTATTATACTTCAGGTTTTCACATTTACATAAAAATTTCTCTCCTCACAGTTTTTAGAGCTGCTAACTTTTCAGGAACTATTATTTAAGTTAGCGGGAGCTAAATAATTTGCTTTACATTTGCGAAGGTGTCTTCTAGGACTGAATTAGTGAAATAATCTTCCAGGATTTAGTGAAATACTGTCATACATAATATTGTGCAACAGTTCTATTGAACTGTGTGAAATGTTCTCATCCTCATCTTAGTAATTGAAATGACAAATTTCAGTTTTATAATTGTCCATCTTATGTCTACTAATGTAAGAAGATCTAAATTAAGACAAACTAAAAGCCCACATAGCCCGCTATGCTATCTTGACAACAGCTAATAGTGAATGCAATGGGAGGGATAAGGTAAGAGTGTGAGCTCTTACTGTTACATCCCCATAATAATCTCCCAGCATCCAGTAAACTGTAGTTCAAGGAGTTTCTGTCCAGGAAGTAATCTTTAATGTGTTCCCCCTGAATGAACATACTGCAAGTATGTTTGGTCACTTCTTGATCCTCTGTAAGCTTTCAAAAATTTCTAGTGTGCTTATTAAAGATTAGCCACTTACAGTATTTGCTTTGTTCTAAACCTATTGCCAGCTAGTTTGATTTGATTCTCTCTTGTTCTTGTACTGGTAGACTGGAAGATAATTTTCCGTTATGATTTTGTGACTATCATATTTCAACTCAGTTGTCCCTCTTCTAGTTTGAATGGTTATATTTTATTTTGTTGTTTCTTGTGCAGAGACCATACAAATTTTCCAGCAGACTTCTCACTCTTCATGTGTTTGGGGGAAAGAAGAGGATTACTGTGAATGTTTATGCCTTTGAGAAATTGTTCCTCACTGTCTCTTTTATTTTGGCCCATATGTTTTCATATATAATCACCCAGAGCATATTTTTCTTCATATTTTCATCACATGGACACAACTGCAGCTTTTTGTAAAATTTCTTCATGACATTCAGTTCTTTCAAACAGTACATTCAGTTTTTTCAACACTAGAGGGAACTGGATTCAGTGTGAAAATTTACCCTAGAGTCTCATATTTTGAAGCCTGGAACAATACACACACGTTAAGGCAAGAAAAAACATCTTGTCTAGCTGCTGCTTGAGCCAAGATGCACAACTTCACCTTGAAGAATTTGCTCTGAACGGTTATAGATGAATCTCAGTCATTTTCATTGGGATTAATATTACTGTTAATTTCTCTTAATTTTTGAGTAGACATATGTACAGTCTAGGTCGATAATACTTGTTATATCTGAATTTGACTTGTCAGTGCTAAACAGAATATGAAGTGCTGCAGAGACAGTCTGACCTGAGTAGGTCATCCATTGCTCAACAATTGTTCTGTCAGCTAAATAAAAAGAAAGTCCTCAGAAAGGAATTTTTCTTGTCTTGATTAGCTTAATTGATAAACTGCCTCACAGGAGGTTTATAGCCATAATAGAGGAAAAGAAGACAGATGGTCAGTGCTTAGTAACAAAATAATTTTTCATGGTGGCCAAGATGAATTTGCAAAGGTGTGGCAAAGACAAAGAACCTTTGGGAGGAAAGTGCTGCTTTTTTTTTTCTTTTTCTTTTGGCTACCCTAAGTATGCAAAATACTATATAGTGGATTTTCTATACAGTGGTTGTTACAGCAGAGATGGCAGTTTACAATACATTGCAAATGCATACTTAGTAAACTAGAGATTCACCAGCTAGTGTTTGTTTGACAGGCATGATTCTTGTCATAATTCTTTCATTGAAATAAATAACTCTAAAAAATGCTGCCTTTTTGTGGTGGTTCTGGTTTGTGTCATTTCCATCATGAAAAATATCATAAGCCGTTTATTATATTTCTCATTATGTCGTTTTTATGCTTTTTAAAGTTTGTGAGAGTAAAAGAGGAAAGGAAACTACCCTTAATTTACCAGATTTTTTTAGCTGCCAAATATACAAGCTTGTTGCCATGGACATCAGTGCATGACTCAGATGCCTGATTCTGCTGGTAAAGGGAGAACCTTGTTGGATTATTGGGTGAATGTTTGACTGTAGTAAATAACTAAATAAACTACAGGGATTACAACAAATTTCTTTTTGGATACAAGGGATGTTACTGTTATGCCAACATCTACTCTCAGATTCCAGTAAGTACATGTAAGAGGCATACAGCTTTTCACTGCTCCTGTTTCATGTCATGTTTTCTCAGTACCATGGAAGAGCACGTACCAATTTTAGCCCTTGGAGAAGTGCACTGTAAAACTGAACTGAAGAGCTAATATAAATATGAAGTCAAAGAAGCTGCATGTGCTGTGGCACAGAGCAGGAATTTAGCTTGCAGTGAAATGCAGAAGTGATTTAAGTGGTGTAAAAGTATATTTTCTTTTTATGTTTAAAGTGAAAGAATAGATTCTTGTTACTGACTGAGCATGTCAGAGACAGGATGAGGTTCTCTTCCTTGCATCCTTTAGCTCCTGTGGCTGGTGCTGATTTTTGCAATGAGAGAACTGAGGGACTGACAGCAAGACTCTTAAGGTTTTTAAACTGAAAAGTCCCCCTAATGTTTCTGCAGTTATGAGCTAATTTCAATTTTTCTCTTCTTACATTGTGGAGATTCTTACTAAGCAGCTCATATACAGGCTTGAGAAGGGAAGAAAATCCAGCTGTGCTACCTCTTCCTTCCAGTTAATTGCAGAGGCCAATTACTTGCACCACAAGAAAATATCATAGTGAGAGAGTGGCTCCAGGGATATAATGTTGTCAGCTGTACGAAGGAGAGCTGGGGCATTTACACGACTCCTCTCCCACATACATCTCCTTATATAAGGAGCTGTTATAATTTGCCTTATAGATACTTTACATCACAGAGGCTTAACGTATTTTATTTGTGTAACACTTAATCTTCTGTCTTTTATCCAGGCCTTCTGAGCACATTTTAATCCTATTTCCATGGGAAGCATAATGTAGGGAAGAAAGTGATCTCACTTTGTATTATCTATGAGTAGTGCAGGCTGAGAGAATTTGGATGGCTGAACTGTTCATGTTCACAGTGACTGTAGTTGTGACTGTCCTTTCAATACGCTAGGAAGGGGAGGGGACTTTTACTGTCCTTTCCAACTAGACTATGTGTGCGCTGATTTTAAAAGTGAAATCATATCAAAGCTTTTGTTATTGGGGATGATATTTTCATCTTTTATTACCAGTAAAATTTCTCCATCTAATCAAGAGTATGAATTTCAAAGTATGAGAATATTCCTCATCCTGCTAATTGGCACCAGATTCAGAAGTTCTGTCAGTTTGTGCTTATCTTCCCTCCTCTGTCTCTAATGTGGGCGAGTAAGCTGAGTTATGTACTGTAGTGCTTGGCTGTGTGACAGTTCAGTAGTTTTAGCACATCTATTCTCTTTGAATGCAAAAGGTTAATTTCATTTCATTGTAGATTAAATCTGGATTCTGACCTTTACAACTGGAAAAACAGAATCATAGTTTAATTAACCTCCCAACCAGGATACATATTTGAAATTTACTCAAGAAACCATATGTTTTAAATACTACTGGGAGCCACATAGGAATAGTGGATCATTAATATCTGGAAACATTTGAATTGTCCAGAATTAGCTGAAAGGAAGAGTTTATTACTGAAGTGGTGAAGCATACAGTTGAGCTTGGAAAGGACTAAGATAAACCAAAATTGGAATGTTGAAATTACATCTTCATACTTTGTCTCTCTTGTGAAATGGGAACAGCAGAGGAGATACTGAAATCATCTACTTCTCTGCTGATGATTTCCCTAACCTGTCCTTCTTCAGCTCACTATGGTAGTGTTGCATGGCCTTTCCAAGCTAAAAAAAAAAAAGAAAAGTTTGTGGAATTGGATTGTGTGCTATTTTAAGGGGACCAAAGCTCTGGAAGCAAGTAAAAAAAAAATAATTTAATCCCTTTATGTTGTCTTTGCTTGATCACTCAGCTTTTGTAATCAGTTAAGTGCTTAATAAAAAAATCAGGACTGGAAATGGAATCCTTAATCCTTTCTCTGAGGCTTTTCTTTGTAATAATTTATTCTCTAGTATCTCAGATTGTAAAAGCCCTGTTCAGCTTGTTTATAGCAATAATTGTCAAGAGTACTGTTTCTGTATGAGGGGAAAAAATTCAGTTGCAGCTAAAGTTGGTTTTTTAGATCTAAGAAAGAATCACCTGAATACCATCTGCTTTTTTATAGCTGTATAAGCCAGTGTTTGCGAGAGTTGGGAGGCCTGGTTCCCAAGAATCTGAAAGATAATGTGTTGCTGAGGATGTTCTATGAGCATCATATTGCAAAGTGTGGATTGCTACCTGAGATGAATGGTCCAGATCTTCAGTGGACTTGGTTCCAGTTGACACTTCATCAGTCACCAGTTAAATACTTGCTTCAGGTACAAGTGGCAGGATATTGTATATTTTCTTAAAATAGTATAAACGTACTTCCAAGTCCTTTACAACATGGACTGCTGGAAATCTGGAAGTGCATGAAAGACTAAAAATCTAGAACATTTATCACATTAAAGACCTATTGTACTGAAATGAGAGAAAGTATCTATTTAGAAAATGACAATAGTGATTTGTGTGTAATGTTATTTCGTATTACACGTTGTGACTAAGCATAGCAGGATTCCTTGCTGAGAAAGCACAGAAAAGAATAGAATGTAATCACACATTATTGCTTGCAGTAATGGAAAAAATGCAAAGCGTAAGGTATTAACTGATATCGAAGACAGTAATTAAAATGATTCATGAATAAGAGACTAGAAAGCTTCAGTGGTGTTTTTAACAACTAGAGCCTTTGAAGACACGTAGAATATTGTGTGCAAATACTCAAGTCAATTACAGTGTCAGGATGTTACTCCCAACGCATTAGTCTAAATTCTATGCAGTAATTAACAGATATTAATTAAATAAATATAGTCTATTCTATATTCTGGTAAGTAGTTATTTATAGCTACTCTGGGAAAGTTTGAATTATTGTCTGTTCTAATTATGCCAAGGACATTTTTTTATTAGGCATGAAGGTCTAAGGAGGAATTAGCAACTGCCTACAATGTCTTTGCATTATAGCTAATCAGGTATCTTGGCAGAGATGCTTCTTATATTTTGGTTTTATTTTTCTATTCATTGATTTATTAGTCACATCTGGAATCAGAAATTGTGCTCTCAACAGTAAAATCTTCCCTTGGCTAAGCTAGGGTAGCATTTTCTCTTCCCCAGGACCATCTCTTCATTATCTGTTTTCCCCAAACCTCTTCCTTTTTCGCCTTCGCTGTTCCTCTTTCCATCCAAGAGATTTGTTATAACACAAAACTTGCTAAGAAGCAGTAGTCAGTAAATGGTGTGCTGTACATGTCCATCTCTCAAGACATCTTTCAGACTGAATATGTAGGCCATGTCTGTCTGGGAATAAAAGACCTGTAGAAGGCTTCTGTCATGAATATGTATGATTTGCTGGGCAAGTCTGCTAAGAAGTAGGTGTATACTGTGTTCTACACTTCCTTTTATTTGCATTATTTAAAGTGTAAAATAGGATCAAGACTTAGCCTTTTAATTAAATATTAGGGTAGCTATAAAGAAAAAACAAAAACCCTTTTGTGTAAGTTTCCCTCCATCCCCTGATTAAATAAATGAATATATAAAAATAGGTAGGCTTGTGCGTTCTAAGAATAAGCCCAATTTAATTATCATTTCTCCATTGTCCTTTCTCTAATGAATATAATGAATATTTCAGGAAGCTGAATAAAAAAAAAAAAAAAAAAAGGGGCCCTTGCCATCCTAAAATATTCCAGATGTAACTGAAGCAAGGATCTAGTCTTTGTCATGAAAGCTCTTCAGAGGATTGGACTAAATGACACATTTTTATGTTTATGCAGTAATATGCTACTATTAATTTATGAGAAGACTCAGTAACTGTAGAAAAGCAAATCAGACAAAGCTTACCTGTAAACAAAAATGATTGTTTCTGTAATAAAGATCTGTGATAGTATATGTGAAAACTTCACCGTAGGAAACTTTGTATTAGCTTGATGGTATATCCCATCACTTATGAAGTATGGTAATCACGAGATCAAAGTACAGAGAAGTAAGATTTGAATGACCTTCAATGTTAGTTCTAAAGCAGAGAAGAGGGTGTAGATACATATTTTAACTTGAACCTGTCTTTCCTCCAGATTTTCTATAGCTTTTAGTGTGAATAAATATATCACTCCATGAACTTCATATAGAGCTTTGTTGAAGAGAATTTTTATAGCAATTTTGTTGTTCAGGCACTAAAGTTTATATACTGCTTTGATGTTTCAAGAGGGAGGAGTTACGATGTTCAAATTTATGTTGAAAATTACAAACTACATAATGACTAAACAAATGGGTAGCTAATTAAATTAAACTATAAATCCCAAACTGTTTAATTATTTATTAACCTAAGTTAATCTAGCATTAAGATGAATTTTGGGATTCCCAGAAGAGGTAGGAAAGATGCTGATGAATGTATCTGTGGAAAATGTACATATCTTGGATTCAACTGGCATAATATTCCTTTATGTCCTTATATTTGTTAATTTTTTCACCTTGGGATTATAAAATTTCAGGCGTGCTAAACCCATAGCACTAAGAGTTATGGGCCTTTGAATCTGAGTGTGCTGGTACCAGGATTAAGTTATTCATCTGATTTTTCACCTGCATCTGGCAGTAGCAGCCTTGACCACCAGGATTCAACATAAATTCTGTTAATCCTACTCTTATCTAATGTCAGCATTTTCTGCGAGCTCTACTATTCTGCTTATGTTTCTATTATGCTTATGGAGATCCTTAAGATACAGCTTTGCTGCGTATCAGAAGCCAGGCATATAGTCAAACAGTGTTGTTCTTTGTCTAGTTATGTTTCCATTATTTTTTAGTGAGCATTATTAGTTAGCTCTTAGGATTTGTAGTCAGAAATTTAATTATTTGTAGATTTGCTCCTATTCTTGTTGCAGTTGGAGAACAGTGGGTTTAGGCTGAATAATGAATCAAATTGGCCAATGAAAGGTGTCACCTGTGCTTTAAAAGATTTGAATGCTTGTCTATCCTTTAGAGAACTGGGAGAAAGCTATTTCCTTTCATATTCCCTTTTACTTCGAGGAGTTTGATTTAAAGGGACACTGAAAACATAAAGCTTGTAATCAGATAGAAGGTATAAAAATGGTGATATTTGACCATACAGCACATAATTAAGTGATGTTTTATAGCTCTGTTGTAATTGAGGCACTTTGACTTTGTGTATTTAATTAATCTTTTGTCCTTTGATAAATATTTGGCTGTTAGACAAGTGCTTGGCCACCCAGAGTCTTTCATCTCTGGTACTAATTGACTGGAATCCAGCAGGTCACAATAACTGGCAGACAACATAGTGACCTCTGATATTCTGGCTTCTGAAACAAGTAAAATATAGTCATATAGTCATACTTAAAGAGAAAACTGAATGTATATCATGCTATGAATTAAAAAATGCATTACATGGTCCACGGACCGTGTCTACGTCCTTGTAAAAAAAAATCTTGTCCTTACAACTATTTGCTGAAATTTGTATAGTGACCACCAAGAGCATTCTTATAAGAGAGGATCGTTGCAGAGACCAGATGTTTGGGGAAACATCCCTAAAGATGAGGGAAGGATGTCACTCCTAAGAGAAAAATAAAGAGCATTCAGACTGATAATTAAACAGACGTTGATTGAAGTTCAACATGGTAATGAAAAGACCAAGTCGTCTTTTCAGACTCACTGAGAGTCTTACAGAAAAACAAAGTTTCATTATGTACTAGGTGCTTTGAAAAATAAATACAGTGGCTAGTTTACTAAAGTTCTATCATGCTATACAAGATAGAATGAAAGAACAGATTTTTACTGATCAAGGATGGAAATGCTTAAATACATTATCTATAAATTATACTAATATGTATATGATGGAACCATTTGATTTAAGAGTGCTGCAGTGAATTTATTGTGTTGCATAATAGAAGAGATACAAAATGTTAATTTGATGCCATAGGAGGATTCTATTTCACTTTCTTGCTCCGTGGGGAGGGTAACACGGTGTGAAAATAAGTGATAATTAAAAGTTGGTTTATTTTATATTTGAAACAGAGATATACAGTGACATAGATGTGTAACACCTATGTAAAAGTAATAAACTAAAGCTGAACTGACAGTCATACATTAGCAAAACAGACTGACAAAGTAAAGCCTGCAGACTGTTGCATTTGTATTTTACAGTTAAAAAAAAAAAAAGTGTTTGTCTTTATTTTCTATAGCTGAGTAATGCCAAGAAAAAAGGTATGAAAATAACATTTGTGATTTTCCGAGGTAAGGTATCTTTATGAACAACACCCAAACACAAAATCTCCCATAACATGTCTCCAGTAATAAATAAATGCAAATCAAGTGTTAGTGCAATCATGCAGGTTGTTTTTAATTGCCAGGTAATTTAGACATTAGCAACCAAGTAGCAGAACGTGGTTTTGGCATGTGGAAATCTCTCACAAATTATATTGCTACCAGTTATAACTAAACCGCTCTGATTAATGTAGTGAGATGGCAGAAATTAAACAGGATGTAGTTAGACATTGATACAATAATAATAATAATAAAAACCACTGTATTTTGCTGAAGAGAAGTATCTTGGCAAATAGCAGTGGGAAACAAAAACATCAGTAAGACGTTTGTAGACCAAGGTTTGTTTCTAAATGTAACAAGTAAATCTTCAATAGACGCTGTGTGTCAGAGATGTTGGAGCCTTGTACTGAGTGTCAATATGCACACAGTTCTCTGGTGAAAAACTAACTGTAATTAATTAATGCAATTCCTCTCCCTCCCTGTGGGTCACTCTTTTGACTCTAAAGAACTAGTGCTTTTAAATGCTTGTATGAATAGGGAAAACTTTGCTTTTTATGTGATTCCATATTTTGACACCACAGGGAAAACATTTTCCCATGTTTAATTTTCATTCCATCTCTTTTCCTTTATATTTGCCTTTTTCTGGTATTATTTATTTATTTTTGTAATATTTTATTGATCTGTAATTAATATTCTCTCTTTACATTTTTTCATTTAATTCTATTTGTGAATAGTACTCCATTCATCTTGATCACACCAAGGTATGTCATTAGAGTACAGATTAACAGCCTGTTGGGTTTTAAATTATAGTCTTCCTATGCTTTTCCCCATGACTTTTTAGTAAGAAGGTAATTTCACTTGTCCAGTATCTATCTTTACAGCTTTTAATTCTTAACTGTGGTCAGCTTTGGATAAAGACAGGTATCACTTGTATCTTGTTAGAAAAGTGCAGCCATTTGGCAGGTTTTATTTCTCTTTTTTTTCTTTCCTCCTGACACACACACACACCACACCACCC